CCCCAATAAGTGGCGGTCGACCAATAATCTCCTCCGCTAAACGCGGTGGGATGGTGTAATGGTAGCACGTGACGTTGTGGTATAACAGTCTTCTGATATAACATGCAATCCCGTTTCAATCTGGGTTCGATTCCCAGTCCCGCCAGGAGATTGAAAACGTAGGTGGTTTGATTCCACCACACCAAACAATTTTTTTTTTCTATTTTTTTTTTGCCCCGCTGAGGCAGGCGAGCGAGGCTGGGCGCTACCAAAATCAACAGTACGCTACAGTTGTGTGGCAGTCCAAGCTTCCGTACAGGGTTGTTGACATCGACGTCACTTATCTTCGGCATTTGATGGGTTCGTCCAGAGCCAAGGAACACCCAAGGAACGCAAGGTAAACAAATCATCAACAACAACTCTGCGTTCGATATTTTTTCGTCTGTAGAAATGATATATGTTTCACCTGACAAATAATCCCCTCTTGAGACATTGAGACATCTCGTAACAACCCCGAGAATCGCCGCGTGCGCGTGAAATGTCTCTCTTCCTGCCTTCCCCTCTCAGAGTCCCTGCTGCAAGTAAGCTGCAAGTGGTATGGCGCGGGGAAGTCCCCGGACGCTAATGTAGCCACAGCGCCGAAAGGCGCACCGACGGGATGGGTTGGGAACTGCACGACAACAATAGCGGCCCTTCTCCCATGACTCCAGCCCGCATCTGACGATGCCGCGCCCTGCACATCTCATCCAATCCGGCAATGGAACAGCGGTATCCCTGGGCATCCCTGGGCGCTGCCGGGGTTGGATCAAAGTCCCCCATCCAGACCAAGCGCTAGACATCTATCATGATGCGGGGAAAGGGTAATAATTGTCAAAGTTGTAAAAGGACCGATCGTGGCGGAGGCGTGGGCGCGGGGTAGGTCCACCTGCGGACCATAGTAACGCTGCTTACGGCGATCACTATATCGCGATGTGGGCAGACCGCTGCGTCATCATAGAGGGTTCGGCCGGACAGGGCTCGCACCTGGGGATTACAGGGTTCAGTAAACAAACCGCTACCTGATGCGCGGTGGATTATTGATTGCCCACACTACTTGCTCCAGACGGGCTATTTTTCCCATCTCATGCGGGGCTTGTTGAGAAGCTGCACATCAATTCCAAGACACACGGCAAGTGGTACGGAAATATATTTTCTTATAAACTTGCGGAGCTCCCCCGGCGATTCTCAGGAGGATGCTTTATGCTTTGCAAGGTTCTGTGCTACAAAGAAGTCAAGAAGAGAGACCGACCGAGTAGACGTTGGCGACGATCGCCCCAGACCCAATTGATTATCTAGAGTCAATCCCAGAAGAAAAAAAGTAGAAAGACATATCCAAGATGTTTCGATTTCTGGTTGCTACTCTCGCAGTGCTGAGCTGCCAGCTCTCACCTGCTAGAGCTGTGGAGGCGGAGCAAAAGGATTTCTCAATCACAAATACTAATGTATCAGCTGTGTGGAACCAGACCGATTGGTCTCTTACCACCGTCGATTACGTGCCAGCGCAGTACCAGTCGCGGATCTCACTCTCAAACGGGTATGTTACTCTGCGTCGCGACGATGAGCATTTTGGGACTGAATTGACCATTTATTAGATACGTCGGCGCTTCATTGGCGGCAGCAGGCCCATTCTTCGAGTATGATGTGAACCAGACAAACCCAGACGGCGATGAGCCTGCAAATGGATGGCCTTTGTTTTCGCGCAGACTGTCGTTCTCTACCATCAGTGGCTTCTACGACCTTCAGCAGAATGGCAGCGGCACAAACTATCCATGGCTAGACCAGTACGGATACGAGTCGTTCATTGCTGGCATTCCCCACGCAACTGGGATTCTTTTCACCTTCGGAGATGCCACGTTGGATAGCACCGCAGATCCAAGTGAGGTTTCCAACTTCGAGTCGACATTGACCTTCAAGACTGGAGTAGCCACATGGGCTTACAAATGGAGTCCTCCTGGCGTCTCGACGACGTTCCAAGTCAGCTTCAAGGCCATCTTCAGCAGAGTAGCGCCGAATCTCATTGCGGTTGAGGCGCAAATTACTCCTGCTGGCGATATCAATGGAAAGGTGACAGACGTGCTGGATGGCAGGAGTGCTGTCCGGTCTTACTTGGCATCGAAAAAAATGGACGACCAATCTACGACCATCCTCACTTCGGTTCACCCCGACAATCTCCCCAATGTCACGGCATACTTGGTTTCTACTGCCGAGTTTGACGACACATATACAGACAAGACTTCTAGAGTAGAGGCTTCAGCACCAATTGTCAGCACAAACGAGACAACCATTGGACAGACCTTCAACATTGCGTTAAAGGCAGGACAGACAGCAACCTTCCACAAGTATGTTGGCGTTGCGTCAACCGACAAATTTGAAGACGCCGAGGCTGTGGCGCGTAAGGCATCGAAAGATGGAAGCGCTGCAGGATGGAATGCTGCGGTCTCCGACCACGTCTCTGCATGGGGGGAGCTCATGACAGAGGCTGCCATTGACAACTTCACGGATCCCACAACCGGCCAACTTCCACCTGATGCAAACATTGAAATCCTCCAAATCGCTACTGTTGCAAACAGCTTTTACCTCCTCCAGAGTCTACAGCCTGATGGATCTGGCCTCAACGACAACAGTATTTCAGTGGGCGGACTTGCCTCGGAATCGTACGCGGGTATGATTTTCTGGGATGCCGATTACTGGATGGCTCCTGGACTCAACTTGCACTTCCCCAGCTACAGCAAGCAGATTAGCAATTTCCGAGCTAAGCTGTTCGACCAAGCGAAGGCGAATGCGGCTTTCAATAACTACCCCAACGAAAGCGCCCTGTATCCGTGGACTTCAGGAAAGTTCGGCAACTGCACTGGCACGGGACCTTGTGTCGACTACGAATACCATCTGAATTATGACATTGCATTTAACTTGGTGCAACTATACAATATCACGCAAAACAAGACGTGGTTCGATGATGGCCCAAGACAAATTGTTGAGAGCATTGCGTATATGACAGGGGAGCTCTTGGATTACAATGAGACAACCAAGACGTACTGGATTCATAACATGACTGATCCGGATGAATACGCTGTAAGTTGTCCCTAACCTCTTCAAAAGCAGAGAACTTACAAAATATAGAATCATATCGACAATGGAGCATTTACAATTGCCTCCGCTGCTGACCTTCTACTCGTCGCAAACGGTCTTCGCAGAAACAATGGCCAGGCCATCAACGAGACCTGGCAACAAATGTCGGAGAATATCGAGTTCCCAACCGCACCCTCTGATATAACTCTGGAGTACCAGACCATGGACAATAATGTCAATGTCAAGCAGGCTGATGTTATCTTGCTCGCCTACCCATTGGACTATGACCAAAATAATTATACCGAGGCTGATAAGCTGTTGGATCTGGATTATGTTAGTCCTCAGTATCTATCCCCTATATATCGCTAACATTTTGCAGTATTCCAACCGACAGTCTCCAAATGGGCCGGCTATGACCTACTCCATTTCTGCTATAGTAGCGAACGCCATCTCCCCATCCGGTTGCGCGGCGTATACTTTTACCCTCAATGGCTTCCTTCCCTACCTCCGTGCGCCATTCTACCAGTTCTCTGAGCAAAACGACGACAACGTCAAGACGAACGGCCACCAAAACCCAGCCTTCCCATTCTTGACCGGCCACGGCGGCGCCAACCAAATCGCCCCCTTCGGCTTCCTTGGCCTTCGCACCGATCAGCAACACATAATCATCAACCCCTCACTACCCCCTCAGATCCCGCACCTGAAGCTGCGAGACATCTACTTCGCCGGTGCCGGTCTCCGGACCTCGATGAACCGCACACACACCACCATCACCCGCTTCTCAACCGAAAGCATTCCCACCCTAACAGACAAGTACGCCGGCACCAGCATGCCCATCGACGTCGGCACCCCTGGCGACAACCAGGCCATCTACAGCATCGACGTCGACCAAACGATCTTCGTCCCCAACCGCCTCTACTTCGACAACATCACCTACACAGGCAACCTCCTGCAATGCCAGAAAGTCTCCTCCACGGACTCCTATGCCCCTGGCCAATTCCCACAAGCTGCTATCGACGGCGCTATCGCCACGGCGTGGCAGCCTACAGCAAATGGCTCGGCGAGCATCCTCATTGATATGTCCGGCGGCGCGTATGAGAAGGTCAGCCAGCTATACTTCAACTGGGGATCGCGCCCGCCTCGCCGCGCGGTAGTCTCGTTCGGCAATGAAACAGCATCCGACTGCAACGGCCAGCGCCAGCTCAGCGGAAAGGTCATCAGGATCCCGCTTAACTCTATCAAACCCAACGATCCCTTCGATGCAGCCGTAGCGGCCGCCGCGGTCGTGAAACCGTATATCGGCAACGAAACCCTGATTTCCGTGCCTGGAGACGCGTGGTCCGGGAACTGGGTGAAGTTGGAGATTGAGGGGTGTTGGGCGAATGTGGATGGGGATGAGAAGGGAGCGACGGTGGCGGAGTTTGTGGTTGTGGGAGGTGGCGCGGGGGTTGTGTGAGAGCGGGGAGGGGGGAAGGGGAATGGAACGTATAATGGGGGGCCGGTGAATAATAATACGGTTCCTGGGACGGGAGCGGAGGGGGCGGATGTTGAGGCGGAGGTGACGGGATAGAGTGAGAGATAGGATCTAATGAGTTTATTGACTGTGTTTAATTTGAGGATACTATTCCACCCAACATAAATATCTCCATGAAAGTGAAATTGATGCAGAAATGTGTTAACGTGCTATGTGCAAGGCACTTTTTGTGTGTATACACTGTACTCGAACTTGGCCTTTGGCGGGGTAGTGGGGTAAAAAAAAATCGTTTACACAACCCACCACTTCACTTTCGCACAAAAGCTTCAGAAAAAATAGTTAAACAAATAGATCTTAAAAGACTCCAACATATGAAGAAAAAAATCGCAAAAAAAATGCAGCTGTGATGGATTCGAACCATCATTTATCTTCAATCTCCTGGCGGGACTGGGAATCGAACCCAGATTGAAACGGGCTTGTATGTTACAACAGATGTTATACCACAACGTCACGTGCTACCATTACACCATCCCACCGCATTTAGCGGAAGGAGACCATATAGGCTGGTCAATTCGTGGCGGATGGACGATTAATCTGCTTTATGTACTTCGCTTGGGAGTCACATGACGGCCGATTTGATTTTGGGGGGTCACGTGTTTTCGAGATTCCTGGACGCGTTTGGTTTGCTGGACTCGCGTTGGGTTGGAGCCACAAATACGATTGCAACTGTTGCAACTGGAGGAAGAGAAACGATGCCGCTGAGAGATATTGTACGCCATTTTTGATCAAGGTTGAAAGGCCGGTGAAGTCTCGAGGGCCCTCCAAACGCATTGTCCTCCTTCAACACCACCTCCCCCACCATCGCCGAACAAGACCACACCCCGCCTCACCATCACAATGCCTCGACCCTCCGAAAACCGCCTCGTCCTCCCCGTCTCCTTCGCCCTCCTCGAAAACATCAAAATTTACTTCGAAGAGAACCTCCGTGCGCCCCCTCCCCCCCCACCAAAGCCATCCACCCCACTAACACCCCCCCCCCAGCAAACGACGCCCTCGACCTCCTCCAACACCTCGTCATCTCCGGCAAACGAACCACCGCCCCCCCCGGCAGCCGCGCCAACTCCGTCCTCCCTCCCCCGTCGTACTTAGATCTTATATCCACCCTCGCCGTCCACCCGCGCCACACCACGTACGCGAAGTCGCGTGATGATCACCAGGCTGCTATAAATGCCTTGGGGTACCTGCAACTCCTCCCCGCGCTGGTAAGCGTCAAGGACTCCGGGATGGCGCAAGCTTTCCGCTTTGAGGAGGGGAGGTCGACCGGAACCCAGCACTGGGAGAGAGGCACGAAGAGGAAGGCTATGGTTGCGCTGGGGGGGAGCGAGGCTGCTGCCTTCGACGATGATGTTATTAACCACCCCATAGCGCGTGACAGTGTGTGGACCCAAGCGAAGGATTTCTGGCACATAGTAGGGTGGGCAATTAACTGTGCCGTCTGGCACCGCAGGAGGTGGGAGTGTTGGCAGCTGTGGTTGGAGTTCATGGTGTTTGTTATGGAGCGGGATTTGGAGGAGAGGATTGCCCTGCGTGATGCCGGAGAGGAAGGGGAGGGAGAGAGGCTGGAGGAGTCGATACTGGGAAGGTTTCTGTTGCTTAATGAGCACGGTGAGGGGAGGCAGGTGTGGAAGAGGGCTGCGAAGGCGATTTTTGCGGATGGTGAGCAGAGGGCTATGAATGAGTTCCCTCCGGTTTGGAGGGAGGAGACGAAGGTACCCAAGGAGGACGATATGGAATTCTATAAGGCGCCGTCGATATACCGCGACGTCGAGGACCCCTCCAAAGACTGGCTCAGCCGCACAGGCCCAGGAGTAAGAGACCTCCGCATCCGTCTCATAACTCTTGTAAGCCCCCCTCCCCCCCCACCCCCCTCGGCACACACAACTAACCCCCCACCAGCTCCTCCACATAACCCACTGCACCCCATCAACCTCCCTCTCCCCCTCCTCCCTCTCCGACCTCCTCGCCTCCCACATAACCCACCTCCCCTACCCCATCTACACCTCCCTCCTTCGCGCCTCCCCCCTCTCTCCCCTCCCCCCCTCCTCCCTCTCAACCCTCACCCAAACAATCGCAAGCTGGCTCATCGACCACGCCGCGCCTGCGAACCCTGAGCCTGATGAAGTACCCACACAGGACACGCTAGTGACGTGCTTCTTACCGTTTGCGGCGAATACTAGTTCGCTTGAGGATAATGCGCGGCTTAGTTGGGCGGTGGAGATTTTGCAGAGGATGTACTTTGATGCACATCGCGATGTTGGTCCCACGCGTGCATTTGTCAAGGCGGTGGAAGCGGGGATTGCGGCGAGGGCGAGGCATGTGAGGGATGCGAAGGTGAGGGGGGGGGTGAGGGGGGAGGAGGATGAGGGGTTTAAGCAGCAGATACTGGAGAGCTCGTGGAGGATGAGGGTTTTGATTGAGGCTGTTCAGGGGGGGGTGGCTAGGAGGGCGAAGAGGGGGTGATGGAAGGGGGGGTGGTGGTGGATAGGAAGGATCCGGGCGTGAGGGCGAAGATGTTGAAGGATTTGGAGGAGGAGTGGGAGGCGTTGGATTGAAGGTGGGGGGTATTAATGAAGGAATGATTTGATGAATGATGTGATTCTCGCTTTTGCTGGGCGTATGGATTGGGAGTATGGGCTTGTCTATATTTGCTGCTGGATGTTCTGAAAAAGTTGAGATTTGAGGTGCCATAGCTGGCTGGAATGACTGAGCTTGGCTTGGCTGTAAGAGGAGGAAATATAGATATATATTTCTAGAGTTTAAAATAGAACCACTCTGACTACTCATGTTTGATTTTTTTATTTATTACGGAGTTAATATATTTTCTATAATATTTACTTTTATATTATAATAGAAATAACGTTATTTTCCCCCAACTATTATAAATATGGAAGGAACGATTACCAAGCAAACTCAATCGCAGCTTCCTTGGGACTTTCTAGCCATATATATGGAAAGAACGATCACCCTAGTCGCAGCTTCCTTTTGAGGCTTTCTAGCCCTATATATATGTGGAAAGAACGGTTACCAAGCAAACTTAGTCGTAGCTTCCTCACAACTTCTAAGTCATATATATATGGAAAGAACGATTACAAAACAAGCTCAGTCGTAGCTTCCTAGGAACTGTCAAATTCTACATATGGAAAGAACGATTATAAAGCAAACTCAGTCGCAACTTCCTTGCGGCAGCCGCAAGAAAGTATCATTCCCATCGCCATCTTTTTCATCTTCATCCCCACAACCTCAGCCTCGCCCCTCCACTCAGCCTCGTCCCCCAATCCCCAAACCAACCGACCAATCACAACCCTCCCCCATGTCGCAATCGATCCCCTGCCTCCTCCAGCCAATCAGCGCGCCCGCCTTCGTCTGGCAGGCTCCTAGGCTTCATGGCCGATGCAAATCGATATATATATCAATTCTCCCATTTGCGATTCCTCTTTCCTTGATATCATTCCGTGATGTGAGAGTGCAGAGCGTGTTTTGCAGACGCGTTGTGGTGCTGGTGTGGTGTTGTGGCCTTTGAGAGGGTGGAGGCAGCGACGGTGAGTGATTGACGGGGAAGAGAAGGGGAATGGGGAGAGGGAAGTATTGCTTTTCTCATATGTTATCACTTGGGCGGCTTAGAGAGGGAGCCGGGGTTTATTTGCTGTTTTTATTCCTTATATTCATCTTTTTTTCGTGTTCTTGTTCGATTTGATCGCTCTCTCGATCCTGGTCACTTGTCTCTACAAGTACTTTCTTTCGCGACGTCTACTGGCATTGTCCAGTCTCGCTGGATATGGCGGTAATGTATATCCTACATCTGCTCATCCAGTGTCCTGCAGATACAGATACAAATCCGCATATATCTGCATATCCTCAGGACATTTGGAGAAGGCACCAACACACAGACACTGATAGACTGACATGCAGCTACAGTTTGCGCCCTTCAGGTCTTTCCCCTCCTTCCCCATCGAAACGACACAACGAATCCCTCCCGACCACCGTACGACTCAAAAAGCGGATACCGTCGGAATAAATCCGCCGACCACCGATGGCTGACCAATGACGAAATTCCAGACCTGCCGATTTCTGGCCAACCCTGACTCCTGATTGGTCAATTTTATTTTTGCTCACTGACAGTGGCAACGAACGGTCCAGTCTTGTCACGCCTCGCCCCGCTTGACTAAGGACACACGAGGAAGCCGTGAAGGTTACAGCACAATCTCTTGCTTGTCGCATCGACAATCCGTTTCTCCTCAGCTGTTACGTGATAGCTCCCTGATGGCGGAACTGCGCCCACGTCGTCCTTGTGACCGCTGAATCAACACAACATATTGGGCAGACAAACGACGACCATATCACTCTTCAACCACGCCGATACGGCTTCACATACACAACATACATATCGATCGGGAAATGGCTACAAGGAAGCTCTTTCGCCAATTCTGGCGGCCCGTATCCAAACTATGTACCGGTGAGCTATCCGCGACACCCATCCGGCGCACCATCCAGACGAGCGCGAGGAATGCGCACCCCTTTCCGGGCAAAAAACAGATACGGCCACCTCCCAAACGGAATGGCCAGATACTTGCTCTCAGTGGAGGTGTTCTAACCATCATACTCGGCTCACACGTCGCATATCCATCTCACGAGAAGAACGCCCCCGCACCACCACCATCCCATAAGACCACCACTAATCCACAACCCCAATCCGAGCCGGAAACCCAACTCGGGCTGAAGGAAGGGGTCCGATATTACCGCCTCGATGAAATCCGTAGCCACGATGGCGCCTCGGCCCGCCCCTGGGTCACCCGCGGCACCTCCGTCTACGACATCACAGACTGGATCCCCGCGCACCCTGGCGGCGAGGTGATCCTGCGCGCGTGCGGGGGAAGTCTAGACCCGTACTGGGACATCTTCTCGATCCACAAGCGCAAAGATGTCTACGAGATCCTCGAGGAGTACAAGATAGGGGAAATCTCCCCCCACGACCTCGTTGATGGCAAGCTCCCCGCTGCCACAGTTCCCGATCCCTTCATCGCCGATCCCGAACGTGACCCGCGCCTCCTAACACTCACCGCGCGCCCGCGCAACGCCGAAACACCCTCCGAAGGCCTCTCCCCCTTCCTCACTCCCACCCCCCTCTTCTACGTCCGGAACCACATGTGGGTTCCCCCTGTCGAGGCCAACGAGCACAGCCTAACCATCACCCTCCCCTCCGGCGACGAAAAGACCTACACCCTCGAAGACCTCAAATGCCGCTTCCGCACGCACACCGTCACCGCAACTCTCCAATGCTCCGGTAACCGCCGCGCAGACATGACCCGCGCCGTCCCCGACAAAGGCACCAACGGCCTCCAATGGGAAGTCGGCGCCATCTCCTGCGCAGAATGGACAGGCGTCAAACTCCGCGACGTCCTCGCCGACGCCGGTCTCGACGTCTCCTCCCCCAGCCCAGACGCCAAACACGCACAATTCGAAGGCGCAGAGGCGTACG